AGCTGCCACTGCAGCACCTTGTGAAATGGCTGAAAGTGTTCTATGGTACATAAGTACATAGTAGTTTGTATAGCCGTTGGTGTGTTATCACAATAACGTTGCAGTGATAGCTCGATACCGGATCGAATCGTAATCTTGAAAGTTGTGCACTCGCTAAACCAAAATGTAATCTTGGAAGTGGTGCATATAGCGTGGTTCAGTGTGTACGTCTTGCTACAGAAGAGGACACAAGGTTGTCACTGACCTTTATCTGGATGAACACCGCCTTCTGAAGTAGTTGCGAAGGGATAATAGGTGCCTACTCATTTACTCCCTTATATTAGGGTAAAACAATAAACACGTGAGATCACATAGTATCACAAATTCAGCCCTCATTGTAAACTATTGCATCATTTTCACCTGGCAGAATCTTTGAGTAGGCTAACAGGTACGATGGGATTCTTTGATCGTCTGAAGTGTGTCGTAGAATTTACAGGTGGAAACATCCACGTGAAGTTCGATAAGGTGCGATCCTAGTATTCTTCCATTGTATAGACCGCTAAGTTGGTGTGTCGGCATGTAGTACGTATCCTTCTGTTTTATAAATCGCTGACTTGGTGTGTCGGTTTGTATGCCTATATTTAAGTATGTCTGTCTGTCCGTGCGCAAAATGAAGTGAGTGATACGACCAGCTAATGGAATAAACAATTGGATAGCTTGCAGGGCTTAGCTATCAATGTTTTGTAATAGGATAATTGTGATAACACTCTTAGGGCTATATAAACACCTGCTTAGCACACTTCCGTTCATTCCACATGGTGCTGCAGTGGCAGCTGGAGGGCAGTGGAGGGAGGAGGATGAGGAAGGGAAGCGAAAAATCTACCGTCATATCATGATTGTGTCCCTTCTACTGTATGAAACACCATTGTGTTGCATACGCGTCACTTCCACGAGGTGTTGGTGTCACAGGAGGAAGGGACCATAGCGGAGGATAGTAAAGCTTGCGCAGGGAAGGAAGGTCCCGGTGGTCGACGGTCTGGTGTATGAATGTAAAATATGTTTGTCTGTCCATCCGCAAAATGAAGTGAGTGATAAGGCAGCTCATGGATAAACAACCGCTAACAAATCGGGTAGCTCGCAGGATTTGAGCTATCAATGTTTTGCAATGGCATAATTGTGATAACACTCCAACGGCTATATAAACACCTTCTAGCACATTTGGTCGTTCCACATGGTTGTGTTGCAGCTGTTGAGCAATGAAGGCAGAAGGGTAAGGTAGAGAAAATCTGAAAACGATTCCCTAGCAGAACTAAGGAACGAGTGAGTATTGAGGTTCCATTGTAGCGTTAGTTATTATTGTTATCATGCCCTCTAGATTATGGTAAACCTTTTTGTACATACGCGTCACCTCCAAGAGGTTTGATGCCATAAGTGGCAGGGGAACCAGCGGAAGGCGCAAAGCTTAAGCGGGGAAGGGAGGTTCCAGCGTTTGCCGGGGGAGCGGTGTACAATCAATTGGATTGCAAAAAATATTACAGTTCTCAAGTGGACCGCATGTTCTCCGGACTTGAATCCAATCGAAAATGCCTGGGCCTTTATTGCCAAGATCCACGAAGAAGGCAAGCAATGTGATGAAACTCGAAGAGCTTAAACTGTCCATCCTGAGCTTGGACAAATTTAGATCCCTATTTAGTGGCTAGTTTGGTTGCGAGCATGCCAAGACGCACTGAGATCCTCACGAACAATGGAGGATAGTCCACTATTGAGAAGTTGTAATGTTCTTTTTTCTTTTTGTTCTAGTGAAATCTCTCGACAATTGATGTGTAATCACATTGCCAAAGCGGTGAAAATACGTTCCGCAGAAAATCACTTCATTATATAAACCAGAACTTTGGTGTGTCGGTTTGTCGGTATGTGTGTGTGTGTGTGTGTGCGTGTGTCGTTCTGTCCGTCCGGACCAACCGCTCTCACAAAACCAGGGAGTACGAAGGGCAACACTTAGTATTGATGTCATGATCATGATAAACACACAGTGGCTAATATACTCGAGCACACTCAGTCTCGTTCTACATAGTGCTGCCGTGGCAGCCGGATGCGCGGTGGGGGGGGGGGTGGAAAGGGGGTAGAGGGAAGGGGGCAAGAAAGGGGAGGCTGGGGAGGAGGGAAGAGAGGGAGGGAGGGAAGGGAGGAGGAAAAAAGGGAGAACATGGCGCTGTCATGCGCCGGAGAGGAGGGTATAAGGAGGGGGAGGTGGGGAAGGAGAGACTGAGAGAGAACGACCGTTTTTAAGAGTAAGGTCTATATTCATGTTGACGTATTATTCTAACCTGATGTGGTGATTGTGATAACACCCACAATGGCTACAAAAACACCGAACGAGCACACTCAGCCTCATGGTGCTGCCGGGGCAGCCGGAGTCGGCGGGGTAGAGGGGAGGGGGAAACAGAAGGGGAGGGGGAGAGAGGGGGAAGTGGGGAGAGGAGAAAGGGAGGGAGAACATGGCGCTGCCATGCGCCGGAGAGAAGGGGTATAAGGAGGTATAACACATTCAATAGTGAGGTGGTTAATGGAGTACGTCATGCTGCTATTCCGTGGTTCCTCCCTACCCTGTGATGCGCGCGATAGCGGGCGGAGCAAACCTGGTATTTTATAATTCTAGATCGAAATTTCTCCAGAAATTTAGTATCAAGGTTTTTCGTTATGAGGAAATCTATTGGTGATAGCGGCATTTTCCAAAAATGCACAGCAACTTTGGAGTAGCAAAAATTTAGGGTGGACCTATCCTACTATATATAATTCGCTAAGTATGTCTGTGCGTGTGTGTGTAGGTCTGTGTGTGTGTTTGTCACGAAATTCATAGCTCGGGTACAGCAAGTTAGTCGTTAGGAGTTGGTTTTAAGATATGATATAGGGGTGGGACGGAGAACATATTTTGTGGGGGCAGAAAGTGATAACAATTGATTAGGGTTGGTATTTATGAAACGCGGTAATGTAACCGGCCAGACGAATGTGCGTGTTGTCTGTGTGTTTGTCTGTCCGCCTAAAAAATTCATAATTTCGTTCCCATTGGTTGAGAGTCATCATATGTACTCAAAGAGGTAAAGGGAGCGGGATGGGGACACTTACAAGTCGAGCGAAACGACAAATACTGACAAGAGCTGACTACGGGCACCAACTTTGTTGTGCCTTCGCGTTACATCAAGATGTTTCGCATCCACAGGAGAGTGTTTGGATCTACATACATGAACTACAGGGACTTTAAGGATAGATGGCTGGCAGAAATTGGGTAGCAACTGATAAGCGCTAATAAGACGACCAAGGAGGGAAATCACGAAAGGAGTAGACTTTTTAAGTGATGACGCATGGTTGGGAATGGCAAACGACAATCAAGTCATATGGGCGGTTCGCCCGTAGACAAGTTTGATCAAACTGCGTGGTGCGCGCGGTAGCTTGCGGAGCCAAGCTGCTTGATACAAATATGAAAGCTGCATGGAAAGTTTGCTATTCTTCTCCCACTCCCCTGAACTTCACACTTGATCCGGGTTTGAGGGTTCCCTGCATTGTTCAAAAACTTGTCGCAAAGTGACTTGACGCTGTAGTATTCCTTTCAGTGATGGTGTCGCTATGCTAAATTCTCTCGTGGCCGAAAATATTTGAATCGTTCAACTGAGGAGGAGGACCATCGGTGGGAGTGAGAACGTTCAGTACTTCACAGTAAGTTCGTACATATTGACATATAGAAAGCGTAGGGCATTTGGTGTCGATCAGCTTTTTTATGAGATGCACCACGCTCTATTTCTACTCAGAAGCTATTACCATAGCAATGAATATGTCTTATACCCTACGAATGTGATTTGACCTACACAACCAGTGTGTGACCTACAAAGCCCGCCTTATCCTCACGGTGTCCCCAACAGGCCCACGCGCGGCGAAGGAAGAGACGCAGACGCGGCAAAGGACGAGTCGCAGCGCATACTGTAGCGGTTAGGCGTCAGGTTAAATAGAGTGTACCATACTACGTCTCATATCGCACAGCACGCGCTGCGACTCGTCCTTTGCCGCATCTGCGTCTCTTGCTTCGCCGCGCGGTGGGCCTCTTGGGGGACACCCTATCCTCACGCCAGCAACACCGTTATCGGTGTACCTACAATGCATATCAAGGAGTGCCATTCACCTTTTCGGATCAGGTTGCAGATCTGATTGAAAACGCATATTCTGTGCGCATTGTAATAGCTACATTAATCTACTCATACATTAGAATTAAATGGAATAAAATAAGATGCTGGTTCCTCTCAACAGCTTCCCTTCCTCTTTTTCTGAACCACTTTTCCATCTGTTTGGCTAAAATCAGCAATCCTTCCCTAACCAGCAATCTCATCAATGTGATAAGCATCTTGAGAAAGGGGACCACCATCTCATGCGCTTATAGAATCCCTAGCTGGGTTTCACGATAAGTTCCCTGACTAGATTCTCTCCCATTCTACTTCGATAAACCCTCTGGATCCTCTCTCTCCATCTCTCTCTCCCATCTTTGTCCACGAACTTCAAGTGACTTTACTCAAAGTGTTTGTTGATCGGGGATGGGAGGGATAGGTGGGGCGCACTAAATGGAGAAAAGGAAAAAATTTCCAGTTCTAACATCTTAAAATTTCCGCGATAGCGTTTCGAAAGTCTTGAAGTAATCTCTCAAACTCTTCAACCCCATTGAGATCCCACTCCCTGCTTTCGAGAATCCACTGGATTCCCACTCAAATTCCTTTCACTGGAGCCGATCTCGACCTTCTTCGAAGAATCGTCAGCATTGACTCGTCCTCACTCTCGCATCTTCATCTCTTTCGGCCAGCGCTGATTGGTTGGATATGCATAACGCGTCAAACAAGTATTTTAAACTATTTTAATATTACTTTTCGGATAAGACAACACGACGACAATCTTCATTTACACTTCACTACTACTTGCTATTCACAAATACATCATCAAACACGTCGAGAATTTGCTGTGTTTTCCTAAATGTCACGAGATCAATAGGCATGATTAGCCACAAATAGAGACTGTGAAGCAGCCTTGTCGGCATTCGGATCGCCAGAGTATTTGCCAAGGGCGGCCAGTGAATTCGCCTGCGCTCTCTGCATGAACACCGCCTGAAGTTGACTGTCATTTTGAATGATTTTTGGGTTGAAAAAATGTCGTGTGACTGCTAGCCGTCGAGGGCAATCAACAGAAAAGGCCAATTCACCTGAGCATCTTTGACGTTCTCGTCCTTTCCTGACCACTTCGACATGCATGATGCTTGTAGAGCTCGACCATATGAGAATGTTAGTGCCCATGGTTTCTTCGTATCTAGCTGAAGCCAATCAATTTGTTCTCAAACACGCTATATCCCAGGACCACCAATACTAAGGCGATACTCTCGTCTGCTTCTGATACTTGTTTTTCTAAGGACAAAGAGATCGAGATTGCATCATGATACGAGAGCCCATTTCACCATGCCTGCTCTCATTTACTGAAATCCGCCGCCAGGTCGGTTCTCAAACGACCAACAGCTTCTTGGCGTATATCCCAAATGCTGTTCGAAACTCACCTTATTCATAGCATTCAAGTTAAGGGTGGCGTCCTCCTCAGACTGCCCTCCCGAAAGGAACACCACTCCAGGAACAGCAGCCGGAACAGAACGTTGAAGAGCAGTTATGG